AATTAATAATAGTAATAATTAGTCAATATAAATATAATAATAATAGTAATAAGATTTAATAATAATAATAATGAGTAATAATAGAAATAATAATAATGTAATATAATAATATTAATAATAATAATAATAATAATAATGAATATAATAATAATAATAATAATAATAAATAATTAACTACATCCAGTGAATGCTTTAAACAAGTGAGCAATCAGAAAGAGAGAAAAATTAGGAGTCAAATATATTGAAAAATCGCAGCGTTCCTTTATTAATAAGAAGTACGAAAATTTCCTACTGTTTTGAAAAAATGCAAGTTTTCTCCGGGAATATGGCAAGAACAGTTTGACCTTACTTGAGAACAGTCTTGTGTGATAGTTAAAACGATTGTTTGTGCTATCTCGTTTGAAATTTTCTGACTATTCTTTGAAAATTGAACTTCCATCATTCGTGATACCATATTAAGGAATGATTGATACAGATTTGCTGTTACAGGCCTATATAATATCCGAGTGTACATGTTAACAAATATGCTTGATGAAATATAAAATAATAATGTACAATTTAATGCTTAAACTCATGGGTATGGCAGTTTTTCTGTCGTAACTTTTCTTACATCCACTCTCTTCAGTGCGAAGTTCCTTGGCACGCATTTCAGCTATACTATACATTGCCTCCTGTTTTTTTTCAAGGGGAGAAACATATCCTACGTACTTCTTCGTATGGGAGAAAAGCCGCGTCGATGTAGTAGATTTACACATGTAAAAGATGCCTCAACCTAAAAAAGCCTTGAGCTAAATTCCAATTTGCACTGTTTCGTCTCCCGATAATATCTATTTTCTCTGTTAGGGTGGTGAAAGTGATAAGCAAATTTGCTGTCACGATGGAAGAGCGGGCCTGATGGCTCGAGTCCCCTCACGTAATATAAGCATTAACTATCTTCATATAAAGAATTCCCCGAGCCTTAAAAGAAGGGCCTTTGAGTTAAATTCAAATCACCTGTTTCGTCCGCTCCGAGTATATTACGTTCTGCCGCTAGATGGAGAAGGAGGCGTAATTTGCGTGGTTACACTGAAGGCTCCGAGTGTCGCACTAACATAAGGCATTAACTAACTACTATAAAATATCCTCAAACTAAAAAGCACTCTTGGCAAAATTCAAAATTCAACTGTTTCATCGCTTGGTATACCTTCTTTCTCTGCAGATGTGTAAGTAGCTTACAAAAATTGTGGCTCAGTCGGTAAGCGGCTCATGGTCCGAGACTCGCCACGTAAAAAAGAAGGCAAGAACTAACTGCAAATAAAGATCCGAAGCCTTAAAGAAGCCCTAGCTAATCCAGAACGTCGTTGTCCCCAGAGTATATCTCTTCTAGTGAAAGGAGCACGACGAACATTTGCGAGGGAAATGAAAGAGGGATAAATAAATGGTCGAATCTTCCCGTAAAATAGGGTGTTACCAATACATTAACCGCTACACTAACAGAGCGTACCGCAGCACGTGGCGGCGCGCGGGCGGGCGGCGCGTGGGCGAGGGTGCGCGCAGCGAGCGCGGCGCCGGGCGCCGGCCGGAGGGCGCGCGGGGGGCGGGCGAGGGCGCGCCCTGTTGGGCTGGCAGCTGCAAGCAAGCCGTCGTCGGGCTCCAGCCCCGGGCGGGTCGAGCTGGGCGTGCGGCGCGCGCAGCGGCCGCCCCGCCCCTCCTCCCTCCTCAAACTCCTCCTCCTCCTCTCCTCCCCCTCATCGCCCCCCTGCGCCGCGCCAGCACGACCCTTGCACACCACAACACATACATAACAAGTGGATAAATAAAAATAAATAAATAAATAAATATAAATAAATAAATACTAAATAAATAAAATACAATAAATAAATAATAAAAATAATAAATAAATAAATAAATAAAGAAATAATAATAAATAAATAAATAAATAAATAAAATAAAAAATAAATAATAAATAAAATAAAAATAAATATAATAAAATAAATAAATAAATAATACATAATATAATAAATAAATTAAATAAATAAATAAATAAATAAATAAATAAATAAATAAATAAATAAATAAATAAATAAATAAATAAATAAATAATAGGGTTTAAAAATAATTGAGTTGTGAAATAGCCGAGGAAAAGAAAAAGTGATTAAGTAAATAAGTCAACATGTTAATAAATCAACGCGTTAATAAATGAACACGTGGATACGTCAACACGTGAAAAAGTCATTATGTGTACACGTGCATAAGACAACACTTTTATAAATCATGTATAGGTGATCATCACTTATGATATAAAATTCAACAGCGGATCAGCAGTGTTGCCAGTTGGTATTTCCCAATCGTCTCTCTCTTGTAGGAGCTTGTAGGGACAAGAAACAAAATAGCGTTCCACGTTTCCATGTTCTTGATATTTGTAGCGATTCCTTTTCTCGTGGAGTCTTTGTGCCTGTGATCTAGTGTGTTTTTGGATTATTGGGTGCACTGTGGGCATGGTTGTTTCTGCTTGGTTTTTCTTCTGTCAGTTAATTTGGGTTACTTGCTCATAGTGTCATGAATGGTCACTACATTACTTTGGTGATAGTAATGCACCATCAAAGTATCACTGCAATACATAACGAGTGTGTGCTAAAACTACGAACTCCTTTCTCGCCAGTACTTTCACGTAAAACTTTGTGGAAAGTACTCAAATTTTCGAAAAGTCGTACCTGTAATTATTTCAAAATCTATCTTTAAGGAACAGATTTCATTGAGAGAAAATATCTCCATCGAGAAAATCGACTGATCGGTTTGGCCGCTAGCGTTGTTCACAGACGGACGGACGGAAGTACGTACGACCGGACGGACGGAAGTACGACCGGACGGACGGAAGTACGACCGGACGGACGGAAGTACGACCGGACGGAAGTACAATCGGTCGGAAGGGCAGAGCGACGGACAGACCGACGTTTTGCCGTCATTTGATTTTTTGGTATCAAGGACCCATAAAACATAGATTCTGGCTTCACGTTTTTCCTAAATTCAGCAACTGGATGTATACACTTTTCGTAATTAGGGCCGAGTAAAAATAATTTTTCTGTCAAAAATTCGGCGTTTTTTTCGCGCAACTTTACATAACTTTTTCTTTACTTCGGAAGCGGTAGCGAGAAAGTAAAAAATGGACTTTCAAGGCAGACAAAAATTTCCAACCATGCTCTCATGAATTGTGTACCAGATAGACACGGTTCCAGGAAAGCCTTAAGCTCGAATACTTTAGATATGGCGGGTAATGAAAGCCTATAATTTCGAAAAAGTACTTTCTATGCAAGTACAATTTCAATCATCAAAATAATTAGATTTATCTTAGATGTAGTATGTCACTCTTACTCAGTTGTTTTAAATTTTTATTTTTTGTATTAATTAAATTAAGTAGATAAGTTCTTCACTTTACAAGTGAAATAGAAATTAATATACTAGCTACATTATGGGGTAGTAACTGTCAACTAACGTGTCAACAGTCAGGTATCAAGTGCCGTACCGCCACCACGGAGAAATGTGTACAACCCTCACTTTTACACCTCCTGACAGTTAATAATAACGCAGTGTCCGCGTGCTCTAGTAAACTAGTTACATAGCCAGCAACCTCAGCATTCCTGATCTAATACTAAAAACCAATTGAACATTTGCAGGAGTAGATGATTCATTAACACTGAGACTCCTACTTTCGTTTCCGGTAATGCTCGAGTACGAGCGTTTAAATAACTGCTATTCATAAAAAATGAGCTGAAATTACTTCTTTTTCACTAAAGAGAACTATTCTGTTCAATCACGCTAAACGTGGGAGAAGATTGTGTACAATTAAATAAATTCATAACCAAGATTCGATCACATATCATGTGCTATATATGACAAAATGAATGACTTCCAGTCCACAACGGAGGAAATTAAAAAGGTTTCTTTATGACGCCGACTTTGTGAGCAATGGGGAACATTACAAGGAAGCAGGAAGCATTCCTTTCTCTCTCTCTCTCTCAGAGCAACATACCATCCAACAGAGCGTATCGAAATTTCAAACATGCACTGGCAGAAAAAAAATTTCTCCGGCGGGATTAGCGTATCTTTCAAGTAATTTGTAAGCATTTCTAACGTACATTGAACAGATTCCGTGGCATTGCGATATAATAAATGGAGATGTGTAACAATCTTTCAGGTATAGTTAACACATTCGAGAAGGAAGATCCCGTTTTACACAGAAGACAAAAGTCATAGATTTCAGAACCGAAGAAACTGCTTTTTGTAACAGTAGTGGAAAGAGGAATTACATGCGTACTGTGGGTTGACGTTTGCGTATTGTGTTACAGTTGGTTACAAAAACTTCGCAAAACAAGGATAATTTCACATCAATTCATTCACAAAAGTGTATAAATTTAGTAGAAACAGAAATACGTCAGTTATTTTAATATAATTTATGCTGTTGAATTTTTAATATTAGAGGATTGCGGAAATTGCAAATGAATCGTTAATCAGGATAAGGGAAAGAGAGAATAAAAAGATGGAAGTGGAAAAATATAAAGACAAAACTTATATTGAGGTACAGAAGTGCATTACGATATCCAAGTTACGAAATTGAAAGCAGGGGAATATGTCGAATTTCAGTATCTAAAAACTCTTGAGAGTTTTCATTATACGTGCATGATCTTCATTATTTTTAGCAAATAATAAAAGAGTATTAAAACTGGCGATACAGGTTTCTTTACGATTTTGCAAATCTTGCATCTTAGGAAGAAAAATGGCAATTTTCTCTCTTCCGCCAACGGACGGCCGTTTTCAACCACACAGTGCAAAAAACTAAGATTACTCGAAAGACTACGAAATCGTAATTGTCTTCAAACGGATGTTCAAATATTACAAAATCAAACTTGTGTAATACAGAAATGTAATATTGATATAACGCAACGAAACAGAAAGGAGAAAACATTTTTAATGGTCGGGGTATTGCAAAGTATTAACAAAACCGCCTTCCCGGAAGTACCAAACCCAACAAAGTGTGTGTGGAGAGGAGATGGAGAGAGAGAGAGGAGGAGAGGAGAAGGAGGAGAGAGAGAGGAGAGGAAGAGGAGGAGTAGATGTGAGAGGGGAGAGTAGAAGGGAGAGAGGGGGAGAGAGAAAGGGGGTGAGAGGATTTTACCGCGTTTCAGAGATGACGGGGATTAAAGCGACAAACATCGGAAATAACGAGCAAACTGTTAAGTCTTCCGGTTGTGTTGTCTGGAGGAAATGATTATGGATCCGAACTTCCGCGTTAATCAAACTCCACAGAAACGTGCGTAAGCTAGTGACGTCTCAGGACGTTCATTTCCCGGCGACAACGCACCGCCGAGCCCATTTCAAGGTAGTATGTTCGTTCCACCGTCCATTTATTCATAGAAAATGTTTCGAGGATTCAGACGATACTAAAATTAACATACTTTACCGGTAATCTTGAAAAGTAATTGATAAAAATGCTACTTGTTGTATAACATTGCGTACTTTCTAGCCTGTATTTCACGCAAAATTACGCGAAAAGTACTCAAATTGTTGAGATATTGTACATGACCTTATTTCGAAATCTATCTTTAAGGAACAGAATTCACTTTGGAAAAAATTTCCATCTTGAATATTATAGTTGGAATTTTTTTCCATTGTGAATTCTCGAAAATTGCAAAAGTTCACAATGTTTTGGAATTAATTCTCTATCTTAAATATTATAGTTATAGAATGAATTCGAAAACATTTTGAACTATTGCAATTTTCAAAAATCAGAGATATTAACGAACATGAGTTCTGCAGCATTGTCTTAAACGTTCTTCACATTATCCAATAACAAAATTTAATAAAAAAGATGGAGCCTTTTTTTAATTTCAAGATGTCTCAGAGGTTTGTTGTAAAATATATAAGAATAATAATATAATATAAGAAGAATAATAAAATATAAAAATAATGTATATAAAAAGATAAGTACATCAGAAACGCCCAAGAGGCATTTTCTCAAAGACAGCTGTGTTTTAACGAAATTTGCTTGGGGAACCACACTTTATTCTTTTATAATATTTTTACAACAGTCGAATTACAATTCTACAGTTAGTGAGCCGAAAAAAAGTATTTTACGTGTTGACAGGTAGCAGCTGGTACGATAGAGGAGCAAAACCGAAACGCTGGCCCGGGTTAAAGACATTGGGGAACCAACTAGCACGAGCAAGTATGGGCCATTTTTTATATCCATTAACTTTCTATTCAACACTGATTTTTTTTTACATTGATTTCTTTTCAAAAGCCTCTAATCACAATCATCTACAAGGACTCGCCCTTGTCGTCGCTTACAAATAGCATACATTTTACACATAGCACCAAGACACGCCTACGACACATCCGCACAGCACATGACACATGGCATCAGTGTGGTCTGAATCAACATAACACTACGCGTTCTCAACTTGTCAATGAATTCAACGCGTGATAATTCACCGATAAGGCGATGCCTGTGGGTCTCCTTAGAAAATGAGTAATAAACGGAACAGACCTTGGAGAAATCATTAAGCACACTCACATCCACCTAGTTCTTTGGCTCTGTTCACACAGTGTTTAATGATTTTCATGTTGTTAGAACATATGTGGTTGAGTCACAAATACTGATAATATTTTTACAAAGTTGTTCCATGTAGTACGTTAATACTGTAATACGTTCCTGTAATACGTTAACAATAATATACAGCATTAAAGTAGAATAATTTTCTGTTTTTTCAAGCCTAATTTTGCATCTAATTCGTTTACAAAATATTCAACGTTACCGTCCATAGATCTGAATCTTTTTGAAAAAAACCACTAATAATT